GGACCGTCCGTTATAGTTTCCAACTGTATATAGACGTAAAACGAATCAATCAATCAATCAATCAATCAATCGAAATCAATTAGAGAGCGGAATCAATCGCGGAAACCCGGCGGGACGAAAAAAGATCCAATTAAGAATCGGCCAAGACTACCAGCAAAACAAAGCGAACAGCCAGTATATCCATCTAGCAGCACCGCACCTAGTGCACCGTCTTAGTACGGCCGCTAGCCTAGGTCTTCTCAACACTAACTCCAACTCTCTAAACTAAAAATTTTCAACCTAGAGGCCCGAGCGCCGGCTTGGCGAATATAGTATAACTATACGACCTAGAAAGGAACCCTAGACGCCTAGGGGTCGGCGAAACTTAAGTCCGACATCCCCGGTCGCTCCGAAACCTATTCGAACCCAATCAGAAGTCCCGGCTAGAAGGGGCCGCCGCCGAATCAATTTAACCGGCATGACCCTCCGCTCGACAACCACCTAACCCGAACTAGAGCCCTATCGCACAGGGGAAGAATCAGAAGAGAATGCTACTATAACCTAGGAAGGCAGAATCCCCTTAACATCTTAGTCAAACCCAACCATTTAAGGATAGGGTAAATATTCAATCTCCAACAGCCAAGTCCTCGAAGCCATTACAGAAATCCTAGCAAAACAGCAAGAAGATAGAAACAACGCTAACCGCGAATACCAAGAGCTTGCTAAGCAAAACAAGGAACTAGTAAAACAGAATAAACAACTCCAAAATCAGGTAGCAGAGATAGCTAACAAGCTGAAAAGGCTTACCTAAATACATAAGAACCCAGCAACAGTTCCTAAAGGAAACCCTAACTAGGCGGCCGTAGCAGCGAACCCACCCGCAGCGCTAGCCCCCTCAGCATACAATATATAGTCCGGAAATAACCCTAGGATTATCAAAATCACAGCACCTCCTGTACTAGCAAGCTAATCAGGGACTAATAGAGGACTCACCCAGAACATATCGATAGAGACGGCTAAAG